AGCGCATGACAGAAAGAGAGATAAGTTGGAAGCTCAACAAGGAACGTTCCAATAATGATCTCACTCAAGCTCATAGTGGCAATTTTCTTCACAAAACACTATTCGAAACAAACTTAAAAAAAACGCTTCAACACATAACTTGTAAAACTCTTTCTAAAAAACTCTGCTTCAAACATCCATGAAGAAAGCCAATGCAAAGTTCGAGGGCTTTTTATAAGGCTCTTAAAGCAGCACACAACCTGCCAAAAACCCGAACAAATATCAAAAGCTAAGCCGTTGTACTAGCGCGTTTAGAGCTGAAAAGGACAAAATACCAACACGCATGGATTCTGGAAAATTTGCATATCGAGCTTTGTAAAATCGAATTAAATAGTAAATAGACTCCAAACAATTATGAAATTTTGTGGGAAGATTATAGACATGCTATACTGACATGTTAGGAAATATTTATGAAAAAATCATTTCCCAGGTTGAGCAGAAATAAATATTTGAAGCACGCAAGATAATAACGTTTCTGGAAAAATCTGGCTGACATAACACGATTTTGTAAAATCAATTGGCATAGTAAATCAAAACTTCCAAAAATAGTATTTTGAGGGAAGTTTCTCAAAGCATATAGATTAAAATGTCAAAGAAAGAATTTTTAAATATTACTTCCCCATTTTATAAAAAACTCATCTGTTTTGTAAAACATGCAGCGAACATGCAGCGAACGAAAAACATGATTTTGTAAGTTCGGCTATTAATACATAACCAAATCAATTCCAACTGTCGATGAGAACTTTGCGAAATGTTTATAAACATCAAAGCAAACAATGTTAGAAAAAGAATTTCTAAAATATGAATTTCCAATTTGTGAAAATCATGTATTTTGGCAAGTAATGTTTCGAAAAAGGAGCTCGTGAAAACCAAAACGCATGCATGTATATATATAAGCTATATATAATATATAGCATAGAAACCAAATACGTGTGTATATATGATGATTGCAGCTTAAGGTACTTTAACACAGCATATATAAAACCTAAAACATAGATACCCAAGCCGATCTTGATTCTTCATAAGCACCTTGACTTGGTACACATGGCGGTTTAATAAGTTTTGTTTATAAATTTGAAGCTTTGTCTTTGGAATCTTGAAACTGAAGAATTGCAATAAGCTTACCGACATTCCGCTATAACCTCCTTTTGGATATGATCGTTTGGAGCTCTATTCCATCCATACTCCAACAACAGTTGTTTGTCTACAATACATAGGAATCACACAAACCTAGAGCAAACAACATTAGTAGTACAATTGTTTGTAAATCATCATCAAAGCAAGAAAGGCCCAAACAAATCTGCCCCCCTATTATTGATGATGACAAACAATTTACAAAAAGAATATATGCACCTGAAGGAACACTGAATATATAACATTAGCAATCACAGATCTTATAAACAAAAGAATATACATATACTCACACGCTATATTCCAGCAAATATTTCTCCCTGGCGGCCTTTGAAGCAACATCACAAAAGCGGGACAAAGAATAAGAAGAGCGAAGCTACCCCTCATCAATAAGCATAGGTGAGTATTAACATATAGAGAGTATAGGATTTGCTCCCCCTAATCAAAATGCCATAGTGGAGTAAATCAATAAAAGATCATCGGCAAACATGTCGAAGAAGCAATAAAATAATATGCCCAAAAATCGACGTCACATTCAAGGAGATGATGAGAAACATAATAATAAGTAATATGGCAAGGATGAAACATATTGTCTTCATATCCATAAAAGCCAATGCATAAAATAGATTCTATGAAAATCCAAAAGAAGGAGAAACATGAGAAATCATGTCAAAGAGTTTCAAATGAAAACAAATCACTCAATTGAAATCATAAATCTCAAAATTTAAATGACATAAAACAAATCATCAATTGATTTTCAAAAAAATCAAGAGAGCGCAACTCTATCTAGCTCTTTAGCTGTATCAACACATATGAATTTTTACAATCCGGTAAACAATGATTGGGAATAAACACCCCCATAAATACCGGAGGTTATATAAATTACAAACCTCTCATCAAAATGCAAAAACTAGGAATTTAGAAAACAAAGAATTCTGACAAAAAGAAAATTCTGTTTCAATAAAAAAGTTTCATAAGCATAATTTTCCCATAACCAAGAAAAGTTGAAGAATAAGAATACTAAATATCTTGTTTACCATAAATTTAAATTTGTTTTGGTAGCCAAGAATCTCTGCGTAGCCACAAAGATTTAGGGACCAATGAACACCTCGATGCATGTAAACTCAAAGCCTTAGGGTTATACGCCTCTTAGCAGCAATATGGTGGCACTAACAATGGTCAAGAAG